GAAGCACTTTCATGTGCAGGCAGCGAGCCTGGCACCCAGGTTTGTGCCGGGGCTGAGTCACCGTGAGCAAAACTCTGTCTGTGGTGGTGGAAATAATCCTTCCGCTCCTGCAGCGCTTGTTTAGTTCTGTATTTTGTCTGGAGCTCTGTGAGCAACTGCTCCTTACCCTGGCCCGGTGTGTGCGGGTGTGGCAGGGGTGAGGGGTGTCCTCTCTGGCTTCTCCAGCCCCTTCCCCTCCCAGATGCTGGCAGCATCCAGCCCTGGGATAACTGGGCGCTCATTTGGGGGTGGGCTGTGCACACACCAGCTCATCCCTGTGTCGATCAGGGCTACGAGCTGCACACGGACACAGCTGCTGAGCGCAGAGACTTCAGAAGATGGAGCTTCAGGGGGCTCTTCAGGGGTGGTCACAACCATCCTCTCCCCAGGCAGGACCTGGCTCTTCACAAACTATTCTTGAAGACCCCAAGTATCTCCCCAGCCTCCCTGGGAGACCCACCACAGTGTTTTTCTGTCCTCACCAAGGAAGCTCTGCAGTGCTGGTGACCCTCACTGTGGCAATTAAAGACCACTCGTTGTCCCCTTAGTAGACAGAGGATAGTTTACTCCCTGCTTCCCTCAAGCAGTTGAGGTGTTTGGAGACTCGTGTATTTGAGGTATTTGCTCTCACACCTTCTCTAAATGGAGAAGGATTTGCTCCTGTTCATGTCTGCAGGTTATGGATGTAGCTGTACCTTGCCCTGGGGACACTCACAGACGCTTGCTCATGAGCACACCAGCTGCTCAGACACCAGCTCTTGCTTCTTTTCTATCACGTGGACTTCAATGGGTTGTGTTGGGTTGGTCACCCAAACCCTGACCTCTTCTGCAAGAGATTCCCTGTGCAGAGCGTGGTTCCCACACAGGAGTCAGTCACATCTCAGGCTCCTTTCACCCCTTTCCCAGCGCTGGCCGGAGCAGATGACCTCCTCCCGTTCCCGGCAGCAGTGGCGGCGGGGAGGTGGTGTTACTGCAAACGGCCTCTCTGTGTTTCTCTCTTTCCCCTTTTCACAGATTGCAGAAGGCATGGCTTTTATCGAGAAGAGGAACTACATCCACAGAGACCTGAGAGCCGCCAATATTCTGGTGTCGGCGGTCCTGGTGTGCAAGATTGCAGACTTTGGGCTGGCCAGAGTCATTGAGGACACTGAGTACACGGCCCGGGAAGGTGCGGGACCTGCCGCGGGTGCCTGGCTGCTTTTGAGATGGGGAAGGGTTGTGGGATTCCCTCAGAGCCACTAAGGGAGGGAGGTGCTGTATGAAGGGGCAGATGAGGGAAGCTCCCCTCATTTGCATCATTTCACATCTTCCTCTTCTGTTTGTTTGTTTCCTGTTCCCCATATTTCACCACCGGTTTCTCAGCATTTGGGTTAGAGCTCATGTTTCCCACTGGATCTCTTTGTCCAGGTGCCAAGTTTCCCATTAAATGGACTGCACCAGAAGCTATCAACTACGGAACTTTCACTATAAAATCAGATGTCTGGTCCTTCGGGATCCTCCTGACCGAGATCATCACCTACGGGCGCATCCCGTACCCAGGTAAGGGGGTGAGATGCCTCCTCTGATCTGGTTCCAAAAGACACTCTGGGCCCCATCCATGGGATCTGGTTCTCCATGAAGTTAGATTGCTGAAACCAGAGGGAATGGTGAGAAATCTGAATCTCACACTGGGAGCAGAGCTCAAAGATGGTAACACAAGATCTCAAGATGGCAATTCTGTCTGTGAGCCATGGAGAGGAGCCCAGAGCTCAAGATGGTCTCAGAGCAGTCTGCACCACTCATTTAGCTACACCTACAGTTCAGACCAGAGCTGTAAATCATCATCATTAGGAACCACCCTATATTTTAGATGAATTGTTTATTTGGTACCTTTTTTCCATGGAAAATTTTTCTGTACCAGAAAAGTAAAAGTTGCCACAAACCGACCATGAAGGATGTGGGGTGGCATAAAGGGCTGTTGGGGAAGTTCTGCCATCACACTAACTTATTTTTATCAGTGCCACTGGAAGGAATGGCTTGTTAAAAGACTTGGATGATGGAGAAGTGTAGCCTTTATTTTGTGGAAATTTATATCAAACAATTCTAATTCCCATCTGATCTGCTCAACTGGGGTACAAAACTGCAACTTCCCAACCCCTCTAACTTGTCCTTTTTCTTTCTAGTGCCAAAGGGGGGGTAGTTTGGGATTTGGGCATCTTTTGCCTTTTAAAGAAATCAATGATAAACCATGAAACGTTGACCTGTCCCGCCCTGTTTCTCCAGGGATGTCGAGCGTGGAGGTGATCAGGGCCCTGGAGCACGGGTACCGCATGCCCCGCACAGAGAACTGCCCCGAGGAGCTCTATGACATTATGATGAGATGCTGGAAGACCAGACCAGACGATCGTCCCACCTTTGAGTACATGCAGAGCATTCTGGAGGATTTCTTTACTGCAACAGAGAGCCAGTATCAGCAGCAGCCGTAAGGCAGGAGCAGACACCCCCCACGGTGCCTGCTGTGCTAGTGGCAGCCAGCACACGCACCCCACTCCCCTGTCTCACTCGTGCTCTGCCTGCACCCACCTTCTGCTGCCAGCCTGGCCCAGGAACTGGAGCCTTCCTGGTGTGGCTGGGCTGGAAGCGAGAGCAGAAGGAAGCGAGGCTCAGGCTGGGGCTGCCAGATGGAGGAGAAGCGACGTGGGGCCAAACCCGGGTCGTTTGCAGGTGCCAGAGTGCCCATGAGGCAGCAGCTCGGGGCAGTGCTGGCTGGACCTGGTGGCCTGTGCTGGCAGCACCACACGAGGAGGGACGGGGCTGGGCCTGTTTCAGCTACAAAGAAAAA